GTTACATTTGTGGGTATTTCAGGAGAAAGGAAAAGGCCACTGGGTGTTCATGCGTTCCTGCTGTATTATTTAAGAGAAGCCATTTGAGAGCACTGAGCATTGAAGCAGTGTCTGCTCCCAAAAGGAGGGAAAATAATGGAGGGGAATATTTGCAAAAAGCTCAGTTAAGTAAATATTTTATGCCAAATAATGTTATGGCTTTTGAATGATGCATGCAAGAGAGTTGAAAGGAGGTGAGGCACAGAGCAAGTAGCACGTGGTGAGCATGGAGGTGTCGGGGAGGGAAGAACAGAGTGCCTTGGGCAGTGCCTCTCACCTTGGCAGGGCTGTGCCACTCACAGGAACCACTGGAAGAAAATCAGCCCTGCATGGGAGCAGGGCCCAGGGAGCAGAGAACGGGCAGAGAGCAGGCAGAGGCACTGCCCGGCCCAGGAGGAAGGGGCAGGCAGAGCAGGAGAAAGGGCAGCCAGGGTGGGGGCAGGGGGAGGAGAGCAGGGCCGGCATGGAGGGGGTTTCTCTGGGCAGAGGAATTCACCCGGCAGGAGCAGGGTGAGCAGCTGGCACAAGGGAAGCACAGAGAGGAGTAAAACACCATTAAGTGTAATAAGAAATGCAGTTAATCAATGAGCTCTGCAGCTGGGGATCAATGGGAGGCAGACACAGCCATCAGCTAAGGAAGCTGAGCGAGAGCCGCGGGCCCGGGGGGAGCACAGCCGGGATTAACCAGGCAGCACAGGAAGGGTCCCAGGCAGAGAGCAGAGCCGGGCTGCAGCCCCAGGGCTGACCCTGCTCCCCTCCACAGGGTCAGAGCCCGGGGCTGACCCTGCTCCCCTCCACAGGCTCAGAGCCCGGGGCTGACCCTGCTCCTCTCCACAGGCTCAGAGCCCACCGAGGAGCCGAAGGAGGAGCCCAGGCTGAGCCCTGTCAATCACCACGAGATTCAGTAGCAGCGACCAGGGAATGGGACCGGACCTCCTGATCATCACCCAGGGACGGCGCTTGGCTGCAGAGAGCGACAGACGGAGTCTTCCTCCCTTCTCTCATCCTTTTGTCTCTCTGCTCACCTTGAGTGCTGGCCAGATCACCCCCCAAGGACCCCAGCATGGGAGGAGCTCGCTCTCAGCGGGGAGCAGCTCACCCTGCCGAGAAGGAAGGGGCTGCACCAGCCCAGGTAAGCAGAGCTGCTGCTGACTCAGGGCTTGCCCAGCCTTGAGCGGTGCCCCAGTGTCCCCCCGGCTGGAGCCACCCGGCTGAGCCCCCGCTCGGGGCTTCCTCAAGAGGGAGTCTTGATTTTCAGCCCATGAGCAAATTTAGTGCCAGGAAAGGCAGACAGCAATTGGGCACAACCTCGGCTTCTGACAGCGCTGCCAGTGACTCCAGCTTGCAGCTGAGACCCTCGCCGGGCTCCATCACGCCCGCTCCTCCAGCCAGCCCGCCCCCCGTGCCGAACAGCAGCGCCGTGCTCCGAGGCTGTGGGAGCCCTGAGCCCTGCTGCTCCCTTCCCACACTCGCCGAAGCTCGACGGCCACAGCCCGATCACCCCGAGGCAGCAGGGAGGAGCAGCACGAGGAGAATCCTCGGGGAGGGCAGAGCAGGCACGGGGCAGAGCTGACTCAGAGCGTTCCAGCCCGGGGCGGTGCTCGAGGAGGGGAAGGGAAGCAGCTGCGCCCCGAGACCCCTGCCGGGATGGGCTCCCTTCTCCCACCGGGGTGAAATCTCACTCCTGATCCCGGGAGGTGTTCCCGGGCCTCCTGTTGCTCTGGACACGGCCTCCATCCCTACTCCATCCCTACTCCATCCCCTCTCCATCCCTTCTCCATCCCCTCTCCATCCCGGCTCCATCTCCTCTCCATCCCGGCTCCATCCTCTCTCCATCCCGGCTCCATCCTCTCTCCATCCTCTCTCCATCCCGGCTCCATCCCGGCTCCATCCTCTCTCCATCCTCTCTCCATCCCGGCTCCATCCCGGCTCCATCCCCTGTCCATCCCTGCTCCGTCCTCTCTCCATCCCGGCTCCATCCCGGCTCCATCCCCTGTCCATCCCGGCTCCATCTCCTCTCCATCCTCTCTCCATCCCAGCCCCGCCGCTCCCGGGACCCTCCGGCCTCGCCCGCCCCGCCGCGGCCCCGCAGCGCCCCCTGCTGGCCCAGTTCGGCCGCGCTGGGGGGGTCGGGGGTCCCTCCTGGGGTGCCTCCCGGGTCCCTCCCGGTCCCTCCCGGGTCCCTCCGAGCCCCCCCGGCCGGTAGCAGTTCCTCTCCTGGGCCCCGCGGGCACTGCCCGACCCTCCACTGCAGGGGCTGAGGGTAAGGGCTCGTTTCAGGGGTCTCTTCAGTCATCCCCACGCTGGAGAGCGAGTCCAGCCCCGCGGACGGAGCTGCCGGGACACCCCACAGCTCCCACAGCGGCTCCCGCGGCACCAAGGCAGCAGCTCAGGGGTAGGAGTCGAACTCCTGCCTGCTGGTACAGGCAGCCAGCTCCTGCCCGAAGAGCCCCCCACAGCACTCAAAGCTTCTTTTCCCACCTCCTTCTTCTTTTCCAGCCCTCCCAAGCAGCTTGGCTGGAGCACCTTCCTCCCTCCATCTGCTTCAGGGCTCGGGCCAAGTCCAGGGCTGCTCCCGGTTCCATCCAACACCCTGGCAGTGCTGCCCTGCTCCTTGTGCACACCCATCACACCACGCACCTGCCCATCCCCAACAGCTCCACGCCTCCCCACAGAGTCACCCCAGGCCCCAGGGATGCTGCAGCGTCCCTGGCTCTGCTCCTGGGGCAGCATTAGGCTGCAGCAGAGGTTTTAGTGACACTGACCTTAGCTTATCCGCTCCTTGGTGCTCAGCAGCCGCTTGCCCCAGCACTGCCCCTGCAGCCACGTGCCACAGGGAGCTGCAGGTTTGTCCGTGGGGTGCTCAGCACATCACTTCTTCCAAAGGCTGGGAAGGACAGGATGGGACACCAAGCAGGACAGTTCCACTGGCTGGAGATTTCTCTGGGCTCATGTTCTCTATTTGTAGCCCCTTCATCAATGTTCATGGAGCGAGTGCAGGATGGACAGTGTCAGCCCCAGCAGGGACAGGGCTGACAGCTTGTGGGGCCCTTGGAGCTCAGCAGTGCTCCAAGGATGCAGGATTAGTGCCACCAGCCTGGAGCTGGAGCTCCAGAGGATGCTGAGCAGGATGTGGTGGGCCCAGAGCAGCCACAGACGCACAGGAACCAGCACCTGGGGCGTTGTTAGTGCAAAATCAGCCCTTTCAGCAGGAGCTCACAGCGTCCCAGGCAGGGTGGCCAAAGGTGATGTTCTTTATCTGTGCCTTGTGCTCCTCAGATACCGATATCAAAATGTGCCTGGAAATGCTCCTGACATCCAGCATTCCTCGGAGATTGGCGCAGTGCTTCCTCCTGGCTCATCTCCTCCCTCCCTGAGGAGCGATGGACACGATACGTTATCAGGACCTGCTGTTAGCAGCGGCACAGGGACTTGCTGACCCACCTCAGAACAGCTGAATATTTAGGACTTTCCCTGAGCTTGGCAAGAGATAACCTCTTTATCATGAGCCCTTTAAACCCTCGGTGCTGCCAGGAGGCTCTGTCCTCACTGAAGGACTGTATTGAACTCAGGGCAACACACGCAGATAAAAAACACTTCCTTGAGTAAACATCAGTGCTGGGCTGGCAGAGAAGGTGCTGGGCTGGCAGAGAGGCACACCGAGCTGAGGAGTGCAGTGTGGGCTGGCAGACACCAGGGCTGGGGTGCTGTCAGTCCAGCCCTCCGAGAGCAGGAGGGATGGCTCAGGGCTGGGATCGCAGGGCTGGGGGCTCAGGGCAGGATCCACCCCAGCATTTCACTGCCTGCAAATGCCCAAGGCTGCACTCCCAGCTGGTGTCAGCCCTGAGGTCCCTGCTGGGATCCCTTGGTGCTCTGGCAGTGTCCTTGCAGGATTGTCCCATGTCACACCAGGGAAACACCCACACTGGAAGAGACACCAACGCCCCCTGACAAATCAGTGCAGGTGGGAATACTTGAGATGCTCAGGACTACAAAGAGGCTGTCATTCCATCCAGGAAGAACAAACCCATGTGCCTAAAACTCATCTACCCAGCCCAGTCATGGGGAGAAACATCAAGGAATGACCCCAGACAGGGCAGGGAAAACCAGGTGGAGACAGCTCTGCTTGCTGAGGAGAGGGCGGCTGGCAGTTAGGAAGCAAAGCACCGAGGAATAAATCTGCAACCTGAGCAGAGGAAGATCAGCAAAGACATAAAGGTTGTGAGTTCAGAGCCCAGGCAACCAAGGCAACCTCTGTTACATAACTCTGCAAAAGCCTTAAACTCAGTTTTTCTGAGAAACGAGTCGTCAGCAATGATTAAAGCCCAGAGAAGCCATAAACCAGCAGATATTGATAGGGTGGGATGCTGATACAGCGAAGCTCAGCAGTGAACAAGCAGAGGGTCACCCGTGGAGAGCAGCAGAGCACAGTGGGACACGGGGCTTCAGAGCTGGGCTCACCCTCAGGAGCATCTCCAGGGTTGATGCCTGGTCAGGATCCAAGGAAAAGCCTCCTTCTGCAGTGAGCAGCTCAACAAAGCCACACTGGAAAGCTGTGGGTAAATCCAAGCCCCTCCCTGAGCCTCCATCTCAAGGTGGACAAGCAGTCCTGGGGCGTGAGCTGCCTTCTGAGGCTGAGCACAGAGCAGGGCACCGAGAGCCAGGAGTGGGGACAGGGCACCTCAGGGGGCTGAGAGGGACGGGGGGGGCTGTGGAGGCAGGGTCCCAGCCTCCCACCACACCAGGAACCTCCCTGGTCACACGCACCAGAACAGCACCACCGCCACTGACGGAAGACGCAGATTTGGTGTTTGACCCAGAAAGAACTTTAAGATAATCTACCTTAGAGAGACAAACAACAGACACTTGTCCTGATAGCAAATGCTGGCTGAAGCCACACACGCGATCAGCAACTGCAGGATTAGATAAGGACTGAACTTGGTCCCACCCTGCACGTATTAATGCGAGCTCTCCGGACACCTGGGCTGTTCCAGCTCAAGGGCTTGAAGATGCTCCTGTCACTGGGGCTGCTCTTTGCTGCCCTGTCCTTGGGAAGATGCATCCCCCTGCAGCAGGCGCCCAACCGCAGCAAGCTCCTCCTGGTGTCCTTCGACGGCTTTCGCTGGAACTACGACCAGGACGTGGACACCCCCAACCTGGACACCATGGCTGCGGACGGGGTGAAGGCCAAGTACATGACTCCTGCCTTCATCACCCTCACCAGCCCCTGCCACTTCACGCTGCTGACCGGTGAGTGCCGCACAGGGGCTGGGAAGGGCAGGGTTGTCACTGTCGTATTGTATGAAAAATCCCTTGGCTAGGATTTTTCTCCTGAGGAGCTGAGAAACCTCAGAGGAAAAGAAAAACAATAATTATCTGCTGCTGTGGAATGCAACAGGTGCATCTTTGACTGGTCCATCTGCATTGTTTCCACTTAATGACCAACCATGGTCCAGCTTGTGGACTCTGAGAGTCATGAGCTTTTGTTATGATTTCATTCCGTTCCATTCTTTTCTAGCCCTCTGATGCTTTCCTTTATTTATTCTTTTTAGTATAGCATTTTAATATAATGTCATAAAATAATAAATCAGCCTTCTGAAACATGGAGAGAAGATTCTCATTTCTTCCCTTGTCCTGGGACCCTCAAACACAACCACACAGGGTCAGGGCTTAGGGGCCAGTGAAGGACACGAGGTGAGGAGGCACCCAGACCATCCTGACCCTGCAGCACACAGAGCCTCAAAGCAGGCAGGCAAGAGATGCAGAAATGGTAGATTTAAACCAGACCCAAAGAAATTCCTCCCTGTGAGGGTGGTGAGGCACAGATTTCTCCATCCATGGAAATGTCCGAGGCCAGGATGGACGGGGCTTGGAGTCAGCCTGGTCCGGTGGAAGGTGTCCCTGCCCGTGGCAGAGAGGTGGAACGGGATGGTTTTTCAGTTCCCTCCCAACTCCAACCATTCTGGGATTCCATGAACTGAACCTGTATTTATCAAAGGTAAATAGCACCAGACCAACTCAATAGCCTCCTTTGATAAGATAAATTATTTTTTAAACAAGGGAGATGCTCTAAATTTAATCTTTCTGGACTTCAGTAGTGCATTTGATACAGTGCCACATGGGAAATCATTAGTTAAGATGGAGAAGATGAAGATTAGCACAAAATCTGTAATGTGGGGAAGTGAGAGGCTACGGGAGGAGGACAGAGTGGATGCTGAGAGGAGATTGTCAAGCTGGAGGGAGGGCACCAGGGGAATTCCTGAAGAATCGATTTTGGAGCCAATCTTATTTAAGATTTTAATTAATAACCTTGGCATGAAAGAGTGGAGCATGCTAATGAAATCTGCTGATGGGCAAAAGCAGGGAGGCAGCGTCAATACGAGGGAGGATGGGGATGTCATGCAGAAGGGACTGCACAGTCTTCAGGACCAGAAAAACAAAAATAGCACAAAATGTAGGAGTCAAAGTGCATCCCTCCCTTCTAACGGAAACTTCTGCTCACTGACCTCGCAGACTGCGAGCAACAGCAAAAGTGAAACACCTTGTGGTTAGATACACCCAGGATAAGGGGAACCTGCCCGTGCCCAGAGGGCAGCAACCACTGCAGGTTGGGTCTGGGTCCAGGTGAGACCCACCAGACACCAACTAACCCACAAGGGAAGCAGCAGTGCCCCAGCATCTCCCTCCCTGCCCTGGGACCCCACCTGGGAGAGGGCAAGGGTAGGAAGGGGAGGCCAAAGGTCCCCTCTGCCCTACACCCAGTGTGGGGGTGAGACCCCCCAGCACAGCCTGGCTCACCCCCTCCTCTCATCTCTCCCACAGGGCGGTACCTGGAGAACCACGGGGTGATCCATAACATGTGGTTCAACACCAAAACAGGAGTGAAACTGCCCTACTACACCACACAAGGCATAAGCAGCTGGTGGGACAACGGCAGCCTCCCCATCTGGATCACTGCCCAGAGACAGGCAAGTGTGGCACCTCCTCACACACACAGACCCTGCACAGACCCATCCAACCTGCCATCCCCCGGGAAAAGCTACAGGCAAGCCAGGATCCCTAGTGGCCGTGAGATCCCAGCCTCCCTATGAACGTCAGGCTAATTAGACCAGCAAAAAACTGAAATCCCCAGACTCTGGCAGGAATAATTATGAACATTCTACTAAAAATAGCAAAAAATAATAGATGCATTTCAGCTTTATTAAGACATTAATAAAGCAGGTTATCCTGCTCCTGTTCAAAGAAGCCTCAGCCAGTTCCTCGGGGAGCATCCTGAGCCTGGGAGCCCCACACAGCCCGGGGCACATCCAGGGCAGCTGGGTGGGGGCAGCGACAGGGGCCACTCCCCTGGAACTGCAGCAAGCCCAGCAGGCCTGGAATCTGGCTTTGAGGCAGGACACGAACCCCAGCCCAAGACCTTTGCCCACATTTGCCTGACAATTGGCTCCTCTGACTCCAATAAAACACACCTTAATGTCTTGATGGTCAAGAGGTGGAGGGCCCATGCAAGGTGCAAATGGGTCACTGGTTCCAAAGTTTTAACTGGTGTTAAAACACAGTGAAGGGACCAGGTGCAAGGGCAGTGCTTTCAATTAATCACTTTTAATTGGCAATGAGCAAGAAAACCTCATTAGAGGCAGAAGTAGACATTGGGGACTGAATGAACTAATCATGTTAGGAGGTGGCTGCACTGACAGATGGAAGGATGCTGCCGAGAGAGTTCAGGTGAGTTTATGGAATGCCTCCACTCACAGGGTTTGAAGACAGGCTCTATCCACTTCCCTGGAACCAAAGCGAAATACCAAGGGCAAGAAGTGTACAAGAAGTTGGTGGAACCCGCATTGTTCAACTACAGCAACGAAACCAACTGGAGGCAGAGCATCGACACCGTCATGGAATGGTTCACAGTGGACAACCTCGACTTCATCACGCTCTACTTTGGGGAGCCAGACTCCTCGGGACACAAGTTCGGCCCCGAATCCACACAGAGGAAAAACATGATCAAGCAGGTGGACAGAACCGTCGGCTACTTGAGGCAGCGTATCCGGGAAAGCGGCCTGGAGTCAACCCTCAACCTCATCATCACATCCGACCACGGCATGGAGACCGTCCTGAAAACCGACGAGATTCACCTCCGCACCGTCAGCAACTTCACCTTCAAAGACATCGACTTCGAACTCCTAGATTATGGACCAAATGGACTCCTGGTGCCAAAGGAAGGGAGACTAGAGCACGTGTACTCAGTCCTGAAAAACGCCCACCCAAAGCTGCACGTTTACAAGAAGGAAGAGTTTCCAAAGAGGTTCCACTACGCCAACCATTCCCGGATCACCCCGCTTTTGCTGTACAGCGATCCAGGCTACGTGATCCATGGGGTAAGGTGTACACTCAGGCATGTCCTGCTGTCCTTTGGGACGTGCCTCTCACTCCTCCCCTCCCACCCCAGCACCCTCCCAGCTTTAGGCCTTTGTGTTGATTGGTCTCCATACACACAGATATAAATTCCAGCTCTTTGTGTTAAAGATCTTCTCTGCTGTTGAGAAGAGAAAGTATCCAGAAACCTTGGAGTAGGAGCTGCATGAATGCAAAATATCCATTGCAGAATATCCAAGCTGTCCTTTGGGACGTGCCTCTCACTCCTCCCCTCCCACCCCAGCACCCTCCCAGCTTTAGGCCTTTGTGTTGATTGGTCTCCATACACACAGATATAAATTCCAGCTCTTTGTGTTAAAGATCTTCTCTGCTGTTGAGAAGAGAAAGTATCCAGAAACCGTGGAGTAGGAGCTGCATGAATGCAGAATATCCATTGCAGAACATCCAATGCAGAATATCCAAAGCAGGATATCCATTGCAGAACATCCATTGCAGAATATCCTAGCCTGACCTAAGGGAAGGCCCAGCATCAAGAGCAGCAGGCAGCTTCGCATTGGAAGCTCCTCAGTACAAAAAAATTTGGCTGTGCCGACGTTTAGGGAGGGAACCTGCACGATGTAGTTGCTTGAGAGCCATGTCTGGAGGCACCTCTGGATTCTGCAGAGTTTAGAGATATAAATTCCAGCTCTTTGTGTTAAAGATCTTCTCTGCTGTTGAGAAGAGAAAGTATCCAGAAACCGTGGAGTAGGAGCTGCATGAATGCAGAATATCCATTGCAGAACATCCAATGCAGAATATCCAAAGCAGGATATCCATTGCAGAACATCCAATGCAGAATATCCAAAGCAGGATATCCATTGCAGAACATCCATTGCAGAATATCCTAGCCTGACCTAAGGGAAGGCCCAGCATCAAGAGCAGGCCTGGAATCTGGCTTCGCATTGGAAGCTCCTCAGTACAAAAAAATTTGGCTGTGCCGACGTTTAGGGAGGGAACCTGCACGATGTAGTTGCTTGAGAGCCATGTCTGGAGGCACCTCTGGATTCTGCAGAGTTTAGCACCAACAGATCAACTCCCAAAACTGAAAGGAACTGAGCAGACCACGAAAGCCCAGGGCTGCAGAGCACAGTGCAGGAGGTGGGAGAGGTGGGGCGTGCGGGGGCAGTGGGGCTGGGGTGGTCACATTCCTGCTCTCCCCTCCAGAGGTACAAGGTCCAGTTCAACAAAGGGGAACACGGTTTTGACAACGAGGCCATGAACATGAAAACCATCTTCCGTGCCGTGGGACCGGCCTTCAAGAAGGGGCTGGAGGTGGAGCCCTTCGAAAGCGTCAATGTCTACGCGCTCCTCTGCGAGCTGCTGGGCATCACCCCCGAGCCCCACGATGGCTCCCTGGAGGTCACCAAGCCCATGCTGAGAGAAGACACGGACGATGGCAATGGCAATGGCAATGGCAATGGCAATGGCAATGGCAATGGTGGCGATGGCAATGGCGATGGTGGCAATGGCAATGACAATGGCAATGGCAATGGTAATGGTGGCGATGGCAACGGCAATGGTAATGGCAATGGTGGCGATGGCAATGGCAATGGTGGCAATGGCAATGGCAATGGCGGCAATGGCAATGGCAATGGTAATGGTGGCAATGGCAATGATGGCAATGGCAATGAGAATGGCAACGGCAATGGCAGCAATGGTGAGCAGCGGGAGTCATGGGGGGCAGGGGGAGTGGCAGCAGGCAGTGACAGTGGGCACTAGGAACAGCAACAGGCACCAGAAGTGGCAATGGCACGGGGAGCAGCACCGGGGGCGGCAATAGGCACAGGGAGTGCACCGGGAGTGGCAATGGACACCGGGAGTGCACTGGGAACGGCACCGGGGGCGGCAATAGGCACCGGGAGTGCACCGGGAGTGGCACCGGGAGCGGCACCGGGCACAGGGAGCGGCACCGGGAGCGGCGCCGGGAGCGGCACCGGGAAGGGCACCGGGCACCGGGAGCGGCACCGGGCACCGGGAGCGCTCCGCTCCGCCGGGATTCCCGCGGGAACAGCGACACCTGGCGGCCGCCGCCGCTCCCGCCACCGCCCGGCGGCTCCGGGCACCGGGCCGTGCCCCCCCCACCGCGCTCGGCCCCGCGCTCGGTAACCGGGCAGAGGTCACCGTGGCACCGGGGCGGAGCTGCTCCCGGCCGGGTGGAGGGAGCGGAACGGGTGGCAGGAGGTGACAGTCACCGGTGGGTGCCGGCCCCGGGGCAGGGCTGGCACTCACCCCGCTCTGGGCACGGCAGGTTCCGGTCCTTCTCTCCACCCCGCCGAGAAGCTGCCGCTGATGCTGGGCCTCGCTGTCGTTCTGGGATGCCGGGGAGGAGTTTTCTAACCACAATCAGGTACCCGACCCCACGGACCCCCGGGAGGGGGCAAGCACCCCGGCAAACCGTGCCCCGTTTGGGGTGGTCTCCTCGGGTGTCCCCGGTCTGTGGAGCCCCCCGAAACCGCTCCCTGCACGGGCTTGACACCTCAGACAGGACTCTGAGTTTGTCCTGCCCCGGGTCAGCATTGGCACCACCCAGGGCATGGGCTGGGCTGAAGAGAAGGGGGGCACCCTCTTGGACCCTGGCACAGCCCCTGCCCTGTCCCCTCTCTCCTCTGTGTGCAGCCAGGTCTGGGCCATGAGCAACCACGAGGGGTGAATCCTTCACTGTTCGTGGCCCGGCACGTGGCTGTGTGTGGCTGCCAGACCAGAATTTGTCCTTTTCCCTCACAGCGCAAATTTGTCCAGGGAACCACCAGAACAAGTAACTCCTGCTCCAATTCCCTGGCACCCACAGGCTGCAGAGACCTGAAACAAGCAGCAGCAGCACCGTGCTCTCCTGTCCTGGCAGCCCCCAAGCTCCAGGCAACTCTACCAGCACACATGGGGAAGGACACGGCTCACAAAGACAACCTGAGTCCCAGGCTCAGGGAAAGGGACAGAATTCCCAAAACCTCTCTAAATGACTGACCCACGCTCCTCCAGCATGCCTCAGTCCCCGGAGGAGATGCCTCCCCCAGGCTTTGTGGGACACCGGGATGCACTGCTGTGGGAGGTGGCACTGCTGCCCATCCAGCCTGACACGGTCACCCCGTGTTTGCATCACCCCAAATGCAGGAGGCAGGACAGCTCCAGGGTCGGTTTGGAGCAGAGACAGCTGATACATAATGAGTGTCTAATCTAATTAAAATGTGTTCCGAGCGTGCTGGGAGCCTCTCCTGAAAGGTGCCAGGCCCCACCCAGGGTGGAGCCACTCAGCCCGGACCTGCCGAGGACACAGAGCTCCCTTTGTCCCTGCTGGCCACGGCACCCCCAAAGCCTCGGAAGCATCCCAAAGTCACTCAGCACTTCCAGCTCCTGCCCCAAGAGCCCGACCAGCACCACCCTGCTTGTCCTTGTGTGCTTTGTGGCTGTGGCCAAACCTGGGAAATGCCCCCTGTGCAGCCCTGAGCAGCAAAGCTGCAGGCGGGATGGGCCTGGCTGCTCTGCTCCATGGCTGAGACCTGCCCCAGCGGCAGCCGAGTCCGCTCCTGGGAGTGCTGGGAGGGGCGTTGATGTCTTTGGAGAGACAGGGAATGTGGCAGTGCGAGGGCCAGGACCCCCAGCTCACAGCAAACAGCCCTGTGATCCTGAGCCAGGGGCTGGCAAAGCCTGGGCCGGTTGTGCCAGGCTCCAGGAGCTCTCCCCAGCAGGGCTGAGACAAAAGCCCCTGTCCAAATCCAAACCTCCCTCTGCAGGAAGCAGCCCAGGGTCCTTCAGCCAGGCTGGGGTCCAGGGGACAGGGAGCAAGACCCCCCCATCCTGCAGCCCCCACTCCAGCCCTCCCAGCGTGGCATTCCAGCACCCCCAGACCCCTCCCAGATGCTGTGGTGCTTTCCCCAGCCCTGTGCCTCATCTCAGGGGCTCGATAAACATCTGTTGCCATAGAGACTCTCTCACTGCATCGGCTTCACCCAACGAGATGAAACAAGAGCCGCACCCTCAGAAAAACAGGAAGAAAATGTTTGGCTTGAAGCGGTGCTGGGGTGGGGGTCAGGGCAGCAGCAGCAGCAGGGAGGCTCTGAAAGGGGAGCGTGGCCAGCGCTGTGCACGCCGTTGAAAATGGTATTAATGATGAGAGTGTGCAAAAACCTCCCCAGCTCTCCTGCTGGTGACCTTGGGGCTCCCCCGGCAGGTCAGCACCGCCACGGGCAGGGGCAGCCAGCTCTGCTGGTACCCTGGAGATCCTGGCAGAGCTCAGAACCCGCTGGTACCAGGCTCTGACCGTCCTCATGCCCAGCAGGCACACAGCAGGATCACAAACCCATGGAATGGCTTTGGCTGGAAGGGACCTCAAAGCCCATCCAGTGCCACCCCTGCCATGGCAGGGACACCTCCAGCTGTCCCAGGGCGTCCAAGCCCCAGTGTCCACCCTGTCCTTGGGCACTGCCAGGGATCCAGGGGCAGCCACAGCTGCTCTGGGCACCCTGTGCCAGGGCTGCCCACCCCACAGGGAAGAATTTCCTCCTAACATTTAACCTAAATTTCTCCTGTGGAAATTTAAAACCAATTTCCTGTCCTATCACTCTCTGCCCATTTAAATTGCCACTCTCCCTTTTTTATAAGCCTTTAAGTACTGGAGAGCCACAGTGCTCAGAGGATTGGTCCCAGTCTGGTTCCCAGACCCACACAGGGAACATGGAGTTTGTAGTGACCAACCTCATCTGAGAGCTGATCTTCCCTCAGCTGGGAGCAGGAACTGAGCTCCTGACTCAACCAGCAGCATTTGGGCGAGACAGAGCTCTGCCAGAAAAATCCATGGTGAGGAAGGGACCATCCTGGAGAAAGGCTGACCCCTGACACATCCCTGCAGGGGGGTTTCCCTTGCCCTCCAGTCCCAGGGATTGCCACCAGGCACAGCTCGCTGGGGCTGCTCCCACTCGGGGTGGCTGGAGGCAGCACGCTGGTCACGGTACTCGCTGCGGCCGCATTTCCAGCACGGACCATGCCCCAGCCCTGGGCTCCCGAGCACGCGGGAGCTGGGGGATCCCCTCCCTGGCCCAAGAGCTGGTCCTGTTCCTCCATCCCCCCGCACCCGTGTCCCGCTGCCTCCCGCCCTGCTGGTGTCCCAATGTCCCGGTGCAGTACCGGTGTCCCGGTGTCCCTCCCAGTGTCCCGGTGTCCCGTGCAGTACCGGCAGCCGGCGGCCGAGGGCTCCCGAGCCGCGCTCAGCTCCCCCGAGCTCCCGGCACGGGCGGGGGAAGCGGCTCGCGGTGGAAGCCCGGCCCGGAGCATCTCCCCAAAGCCGCGGCGCCGCAGCCGCCAGCCCCCCGCCCAGCGCCGGCCGCTGCCCCGGGGCCTTCCGGAGCCCCGGCGGCTGCCCCGGCCAGGGATCCGCTCCTCGTCCCGAGAGACAAAGCCTGGGAACACCCTCCCAGCACCCTCTGCAGCTCCGGCTGCACCGCCCGCGCAGGGATGCTCCAAGGGATGCCCTGGAGATCACGACACGCACCGGAATGTCACCATCCCCTCCCGGCCCTGACTACGTGCCCGGGCTGGGGGATGCTTCCATGTCCCAGGCCAGACGGATGAGATGGATCCTCCCCGCTCTGGGTGCGAGTTTCAATCCCACAGACACATGGAACCTAAACCAGCTCCTACTCCCCAGCCAGGAGCCACCTCCAGCTCAGCCTCTTCCAAGGAAAACCCCAAACTGTCGCATTTTGCACGTCCTTGGAGCCTTTCCCAGCCCTTCCCGCTGCTCCTCACACCTCGTGCATGGGCAATGTGGGACATTTTCAGCAAACATTTCCCGGTGACAAAGGCCAAAGCCCAGCCTGGCCCTACCCGGACACAGCCTCTGCCGGATCCCGCGTCTCCTCCTGCCCTCCCGTAATTCATTCCCCCCCGCCCCCCTCCCCGGGCTGGGGGTCACGCAGCAGGGAGAGCCCCGCTGTGTATTGCATCCCAATTTGCCATGCATTTCCACACCATTTGCTTCCTTTTCTTTTTCCTGCACTGGGAAGCTGCTCGCTGCCCAGGGGTCCCAGCCGCTCCGGGATGGGAACATAACAACAAACATACAAGGACACGTATTTATTTATTTATGGCACGCAGTGTGTGGGGACACTGCTGCCTCCCAAAACGCCTGCTCGGGGGTGGCACGCGCCCCTCTGACTCCCGCACAGGGCCACAGGACCCGGACACGAGGCGGTCCCCGGCCACCCCATCCTGGGAAGCCGCACAGCTCCATGCTGCAGTACCCAAATGAGATGCAGATCTCTGTGCTTTGATTGGCTGATGCCTTGGGAAAAACAGCCACCATTTGCCCACAACAAACATGGCCACCATGGCCCGGCTGTTCCCTGGAGTGGCCCCAGCCTCACCCTCTGGGGTCAGGGACATCCCGCACCCCCTCAGGCCCCCCCGGCATGGGGGTCCCAGAGGGAACGGGGCACCCCTGCAATGCACCTGCTTTGGGGGGCCCAGCACCAACACAGAGACCCTGTGGGAACCCCCACGGCCCGGATCCCCCCGGACCTTGACCCCCACCCCGCACCTACCAGGCCAGGGCTCCACAAGGCCCTGGAAAGCGGCCGTGTCCTTCACTGAGCCTGGCAGGGTGGGCAGAGAGCCCACAGCACCTCAGGGGTGACCTGAACTAGTTCCCAGTAAACCCCAGTTTAAAAAGATTTCCAGTCTGGGGAGCAGCACAGCCCTTTCCCCCTCAACACGCAAAGGGGACTCGGATCATCCCCATCCCTTCCTCCAACACCAAATCCCCACTTCAGCCTGACAGCCCCTGCTACAGACACAACACAGGACACACGGCATTCCTGGGATGCCTGGCCTGCTTGGGAAAAGCTACAAAATCATGTTCCATCAGATTAGTTCAGGGGTCTGACTCTCATTTTTAAGATTATGACAGTTTTCATGGTGATTGGTGAATTTATTGGCCCTGCTGTCACTTTGCTTGGTGGGAGCATGGGGCCAAGTTCTCCAGTGCGTGTTGCTGACTTTCTCCAGAAAGGTGAAGTCCCTGTCAGGGATGGGAAACACTGAATTCATGGAAAAGGCACTCAGGTGGAGCCACAGCTGTGGCAGCAGCAGGGGGGCATCTCATCCCACCCCAGTGAGCAGCCCCAGCGGGGGCAGCCCCAGTGGGGGCTCCCACCAGCAGTGCCCAGGGAAGCTCCAGGGCTGGGATGGTCTCCTCTGACTGACCAGGAGGGAACAGGCCAACCCAGAAGGCCTGAGGTACCCCACTCCGCCAGGGGTAAAAGGCACAGAGCCCACGGCAGCCCAGGGACTGCCCAGGACCAGTTTTTAATCAACCCCTGGGAGGAGAAAGGAGATTTCCAGCCCAGGGAGCAGCACGGTCCTTTCCACGCTCACCAGGAACAGGACGTGTGGCATGAGCAGCATTGGGGATCATTCAGAGTCCCCACAAGGGACCAGGGACAGTGCTGATGGCACAGCCCCACAAACGCTGTGGTCCCTAAGGAAACACAAACGTCCAGGGCTGCTCCCACTTCTGAGCCCAGCCCCTCGGAGCCCAGCCGCCGGCGGATGGAGCCTCTCCACTCACACGGCCTCCCCTTCCTGGCCCCGGGAAGGCAGAGAACAGCGACCCCAGCCCTGCATCCTCGTGGGGAGCTCAGGAACAGCAGCGCGGAGGGGCGGCTGGGAGAGGAGCTCACCCAGCATCACCCGAACCAGGGCTCATTCCCAACAGGGGTCGTCTCTGAGAGGCGAATCCCTGCAGTCAGGAGAGCCCCAGGGCTCCTCATCCCTTGGGATGGCTGTGCACGGCTCAGGCACACGGCGAGGGGAGGTCACACAGGGCTTCTAAAATCTCAGAGGTGTCGCACACAAAGAGCCGAGCTGGCAGAAGGTAAATGAACTCAAACAAAAAGTGGGGCGCTGTTACAATTCTGTGTCACCTTCGGCTAAAAAACCGCTCCTACAGCTCATCAGCGACCGGCCACGGTGATTGTCAAAGAAAACAATGAAAGGTGACAGCGCCCGACCCAGGACAGCCCCCCTGGCTTGGACCCACCACACCCCGCGGTGCCCGAGCAGCCCCGCTCCTGGCTCCAGCCTCTCATTGCCTCCTTCAGAGGGTCCCCCGCGGTGACATTCCCCCCGCAGCGGGGACAGCCAACGCACCCGCTGCCGCTCCAAATGACCCAGCACCGCTAAACCCGGCATTGCTAAACCCGGCACCGCTAAACCCGGCCTCGCTAAACCCGGCCTCGCTAAACCCGGCATCGCTTACCGGAGACGGCAGTGCCCGGGGTGCGGGCGAGGCCCCACGCAGGACACCCCATGGCCCGTCCGGCTCCTGCTCAGTCCCTGCGCGCCGCGGGCACCCAGGCGCCGGGGCGACGGCAATTCATATCCCCGCGGCTCCCGCACGGTTAACGGCAGGCTCCGGGCCCGCGGCGGCGAACTCCCTGAGGTGCTGACTCATCTTCTTCCATGCCTGTAAAGCACCATATTTCATCCTTCCACGCCCACAGCGCACAACCGCCGTGCAGCAGCTCCTCACGCAGCCCCGCACGCCCCGGTGCGTGCGGTGCCGGCGCGGTCGGTGCCGCCGCACCCCCGGTAGCGCGGCTCGGGAGGGATCGTGGGCCGGGCGGTACCGAGCTGCGAGCCGGCACCGCGCGAGGGCCACAACCGGCCCAGCCCCCAGGAAATCTTTTATTCTATTATAATCAACTGTTTTAGGACTGAAACGTGCCGGTGCCGCTGCCGCCTGTTCCGGCCCGGCGGGGACCGGCGCTGGCTGCCCCGGCCCCAGGGTGCTTTGTCCCCAGGAAGGACCCCGGGCGGGGGACTCGGAGCCCGGCTCCTCGCAGCGGGAACCCCTCGCGGGGTCGGAGCGGGGGGATCCCCCCGGGGGCCGGCCGGGGAAGCCCCCTGCGCCGCCTGGGCAAACAAAGCCCCGGGCCGGGCCACCCCATTGTCCCCGCTCCGGCCGGGCTGCGGCCGCCCCCGCGCGGGAGGAAGAGGAGGGGTCGCACACAGACAATGCCTCCCCCCACCCCCCACGCCGGATCGCCCCGCCCCTCGCTCCCCATTGGCCGGCGGGGAATTTGGGGACCCCCCGCCCGCCCCTCCGCCGTATTGTGCCGGGGGGCGCGCGTGGATCTGGGGGGGTCGGAGCGCGCGCGGCCGCCGTCGGGGGCGCGCCCGGGGGCTCCCCTTGTGTGTGAGTGCGCGGGGGTGTGCGCGGGGCCGGGGCCATGGAGGAGCTGAGCAGCGTGGGAGAGCAGGTCTTCGCCGCCGAGTGCATCCTCAGCAAGCGGCTCCGCAAGGTGGGACCCGCCGCCCCCGCACCCCCGCTCTCCCCGCGCCCCCCGCCGCCGCTAACGCCCCTCTCGCGTCTCTCTCCGCAGGGCAAGCTGGAGTACCTGGTCAAGTGGCGAGGCTGGTCCTCCAAGTGAGCGGGGCGGTGCGGGGCGCGGGGCGGTGCGGGGCGCGGATCGCGGAACCATGCGGTGCGGAGCGGCGTGCGGTGCGGGGCGCGGGTACCGCCCGCCCGGCCGCTTTTGTTTGGGTCGTGCCGCTCCTTTTGTTTACAAATAAGCGCGGCCGCGGCCGGGCCCTCCCCGCCACCGCGTGGGGCTCCGCTCCCCCCTCCCGGGCCGGTGCAGCCCCCCCGGAGTCGCCGCACCCCCCGGCTGTGCCGGCCCCTCGCCCGCTGTGCTGAAACCGGAGCTCCCCCGGGATGCGCGGGGCTCGCCTCGCCCCGCGGCGGCGTGGCCGCCCCCTTGCCGATCTCCCTCCCCCGGCCCCTCTCCCCTGCCCGCCCCCCGGCTGTGCCGGCCCCCGGTACCGGCATGCCCCGGTCCGTGCCAGGCCCGGGTGGCCCTGGGGGAAGCCCCCGGTGCCCCGTGGGTGCCGGAACGGCGCGGGGGGTCCGGCCCCCTGCTCTCAGCCGGTCCGTGTCCTCTGTTGCAGGCACAACAGCTGGGAGCCTGAGGAGAACATCCTGGACCCACGGCTGCTGCTGGCTTTCCAAAAGAAGTGAGCAAACTCTAAATGTTTCTAAGCAAACTGTAAAGTCAATTAACTTCTAATTGGCTGCACGTGTGGTGGAAGCCGTTGGAAACAACAGCCTGGAGCTGGCGGGGCCCTTTGTGGCCAGGCCCTTTTGTTTGTCCCCGGAGTCACGGTCGGTCCAGGTCTACCTAGGGCGGCTCTGCCCTGGCCAGACAGACCCCGAGGGTTTGTGGCCTCCGGGTGCACCGGGGGAATGGGGCACGGACCTGGGGCTCCCTGTCCCCATCCAGGGCTCAGGGACCTTGGCTGTGCTTGGGGGACAGCTGCAGACCCCTGGGGGGAGATGGTGCCTGGGCTTGTGAGGCATTAAAGTGAACTTGTGGAGGGTGAGGGAAATAATATCTGGGAGAAAATGGTAGAGAATGGTTTGGATTTAGAAGGATCTTAAAGCTCTTCCCGATCCACCCCATCATTTCCACTATCCCAGTGGCTCCAAGTCCTGTCCAGCCTGGCCTTAGACATCACCATGGATGGGGCAGCCACAGCTTCTTTGGGCAGCCTGTGCCAGGGCCTTACCACCCTCACAGGGAAGAATTTCTTCTTAATATCCCATCTAACCCTGCCCTCAGTCAGCTGGAAGCCGTTCCCTGTGTCCTGTCACTCTAGGCGCTTGTCCAGAGTGCCTCTCCAGCTCTCTTGGAGCCTCTTTAAGTACTGGAAGATGCTCTTGAGGTCTCCCTAGAGCCTTCTCCAGGCTGAACCACCTGGATGGCAGAACAAAATGGTGTCTGTCCTGTCAGGTGCGTGCTCCTGCCTGGAGCCAGGCTGAGAACAGCAATGGTTCCACAGCCCTGCACCCCAGGAATCACTCACGGAGCAGAGGGGTAGCCAGCTGGCCATGGCAGACATAGTGCTGCCAAGTACTTTGACATAGTAGTAATAAAAATCATTAAAGTTTATGAGAGGATTCAATTATAACTGGTTTCTGGATCCATTTCATTCAAGAATAGGATCTGGTGTTGGATGTAGACAGGATGGTGTTTAATCAGCTGGATGTTACATCTAAACACCATCCATTTAAACAGAACTAGGAAACGATCCTGTGACCTGAAACATCCCAGCCTGGGCCACCGTGGCCAGGGCAGGAGATGCAGGAGAGGTGGAGGGAGTCCAGCAGAGGAGGGGACTCACTGAGCTTCCAGGGAATGCCTTTGTCTCTCCCACACCCAGCATGGAAGCTCAGCACAGCAGGGGCATAACCAAAGCAAGGCTTAGCAGGGCTGGGGACAGACCCTTCCCTTTGCCTGATCCTCTTGTGCCAGAGAAATGGCAAATCTCACCTGGAAAAGGCACAGGTTTACGATGGGTAACCCCACGTGGTCAATCACCGAGTGCTGGAAGCTGCGGGGATGTTGCTGGTGCAGACTGGGATGCTGTCCTGTCACTACCTGGCTGCCTCAGTTTCCCCAGATGTTTTTTCTTCCCCACAAACATTGTCCTTAATCCTTGTTTCCTGCAGGGAACACGAGAAAGAAGTGCAGAATCGGAAGAGGGGCAAGCGGCCCCGGGGCAGGCCCAGGAAGAACGTGGTGAGTCCCAGCAGTGCTGGGGCAGCTCTGGAGGGGTTCTGGCCTTGGAGGGCACCGGGGTTTGGGGGTGGCCTCAAGCACACAACTCATCCCGTCAGCTGATGGACTCCGGAAGATCAGCTACACAGAGAGAGAAGCTGGCCGTGTCTGAGGCCCCTGGCCAGGCCACCCTGGAGGGTTTGTAGTGCCCATAACCATTCCTCGGTCACTGCTGTTAACTCTCCCCGTCTCTGTTGCTTTGCAGGAACCAGAGATGCCTACAAACACTAAGTCAAGCAGCTCCTCTTCCTCCACATCCTCCTCTTCCTCCTCCTCCGAGGAAGAGGACGAGAGTGATCTGGAAGCAAAGAGAGGTCCCCGTGGCAGGGAGACGCACCCGGTGCCGCAGAAGAAAGCTCAGATCCTGGTGGCCAAGCCCGACATGAAAGACGCTTCCAGGAAGAAGCGTGGCCGGAAACCTCTTCCTCCAGAGCAGAAAGCAGCTCGAAGGACTGTGAACCTGACAAAGGTGCTGAAAACGTCCCGGAAGGAGGTGGGGGGCAGTGCCAAGCTGGTGGGGAAGCTGCAGCCCCAGCACAGCGCGCAGGGCTCAGGCATGGCTATGCTGAAGGATCCACCGGGCGCCTTGGCTGGGCTCAGCTCAGGGGGCTCCTCAGTGGAGAACCTGCCCAACATGATGAAGAGCGGCTCGGCGAGCCCCAGCCAGGCCATCAGCTGGCAGAGCTCCATCGTGCACTACATGAACAGGATGTCCCAAAGCCAGAGCGCAGCCGAAAGCTCGGCCCTGGGCAGGCTGGCGCTGAAGGCACAGGCAGCCAGTAAGGGCAGCTTAGGGCTGGACTTGAAAATGAGGAGCCAGAAAGGCTCTGGGGAGCTGGGACTGAACACACAGGGACCCAAAACTGCAAAGGCTTCCGGCAGCAGCGCTGGAGGGGACCAGAAATCGGGGTTTGCTGCTGGAGGCCAGCTGCTGCCCAACGGCAGCAAGGCACCGTCGAGCTCATCTGGGGCCAGCAGCCAGGCAGCCTCCAGCCAGGAGCTGAACCTGCAGGCTCTGAACCTGCAGAGTGTCAAAAACGGGCCGAGCGCGGCCGGCGGGAGCAGCCTGCCCCGGCACCTCTGCGGCTCCCTGGCCAAGGGCTCCGCTGGCAGCACGGCCGGTGCGGGTGCCAAGGGTGCTGGCAGTGCCAAGGCTGGTGTGACAGGGGCCGGGCTGAACGCTGCCGGTGCTGCTGCACTGCCAGGGGGGGACGGAGGCAAGAGCAAGAAGCAGACACACCGGGCAGGTGACAGGGACTCGGCCAAAGGTGGCTCAGCGGGCGCTCCAGAGGGACACGCGGCCTCAGAGAGCCGCAAAGCCTCCGCCCTGGCCGAAGCGAGCACAGGCGAGGACAGCAGCTCGGATTCGGACCGGGATTCAGCGTCCCTCCCAGGTGTGGGTCAGAACATGTCTGTCTCCATCCAGACCAGCCAGGACTGGAAACCCACCCGCAGCCTGATTGAGCACGTCTTTGTCACCGATGTCACCGCTAACCTGATCACAGTGACGGTCAAGGAGTCCCCCACCAGCGTCGGGTTTTTCAACCTGCGGCAATACTGAGCCCAGGAGCCTAAGAGGAGGGAGAGAGCCCTTCAGCCTCACCCTCACCTTTGCCCAGCTCCTCCATCAGGTGTTTTTTCTTCAAAGCGAACGCAGAGCCCTCCTGAGACCTGCTGGAACTTCTGTCTGGACAGGCTGGACCAATAACACAGTGAAACCCGCTCCAAACTGCCAGCAGCTCCTGGATTTCCTCCCTGGCTTCTCTCCATCCTCTTCTGGAGCCGTGCCCCATGTGGGGGTGGTCGATGCCATGCTCTGGGGGCACTGGGGCTGCCGGGGTGTCAGGCTGGCCGGTTTCGAGCCAGGCTTCACTGCCTGCAGGTCTCTGTGCTTTGAAACAGCAAATGCCAAGGGCTGCAGCTCCCTGGCCACGGGGGTGTGGAGCTGCCATGGGACAGTCTTACACCTGGGAGAGTCTCTTCTGGGCTTCCTGTGGATCTGTCTGTGAGCCATGGGGAACTGCAAGTCAATCCAAATGAGGCAGCTGCTGCTCCCAGCCCTCAGGGTTGTGGGGGGCAGCTGCATTCGGGGGTTTTTCAGGGTACACTGAGCCCAGCCACCCCCCTGGGCAAGGTCATTTCCAATGATGGGAAACCCACAGCGTTTCTGTTGGGGTTTCCAATTGATAGGGAAACATTGTTTACATTTTTTCTTAAGGATTTTTTTTTTTCGTGAGGGAGGGAAATAACCCCAGTCTAAGGTAGATAAGTCCTGGATGCCACTAACAGAACAGGTGGCAGAGGTGCTTTTTTTTGGAGGGTGTTTCCTTTCTGCTGGAGGAAAGTCCTGCCTTGAAAGCCAGCAGGATCCACCGGCTTCTCTGCAGTGACTTGACTTCCAGAAGAACATGAATTTCTGGGCAGCCCAGGGAACCTCCACACCACTCCTGTGCCTCATCCTGGCATTGCCAGCATCTCCACCTCCTGCTCAGCAGGTTCCAGGCACTCACAGGGTCTGAGCTGGGGAATATTTTTTAAGCCTTGCAGAACATGTGAACCCTTCCAGCAGCAGGTGGGTTGGTGCTGGGGCTGCCAGGACACCCAGGACTGCTGCTCGCTGGGTTAGACCCACGCTGATCGTTCATGGTTTTCTCCAGAATGCTCAGTAGCTGGTCAAGGCCACCTGCACCGGTAGTTTGGAGTGGTGGGAAGGGAGCGGAGAGGGAGAAGGGCTAAGACCAGTGGGTCCCACAAGCTGCTGTTCCTCAAGGAACCAGAGCAGCCATTCACCTTCCCCTGGCCATCCCAGCAGCTGGGGTGCTCCTTTTCGCTTGCAATGGCACCCACTAATGGCTTTTCCACTGCAGTGTTTTCCCTGCTGCAGATTCCTCCTAGAAGCCAAAATTAGCAGCAGTTCAGGCAGAGTTTAGTAGCATTCGAGGTCATTTTCGTTCTGTGGATGCTGAGTCCTTTTCTCGGAGGCGATAACAGCTGGCAGCTGCCCCTCCCTGCATGGTTCTGATGCCTCCACCTGACCAGCAGGTCACTGCTTAGGGGGTCCCCAGGTGACTGAGCTGGCACCAGGGCAGGCGTTTCCCTTTGTCCCAGGCAGTGCCACTCACAGGAGTGTGGGTGCTTGGACCAAAGTGGGGTGCAGGTGCTCGTGACCCCCTGAGGCTGCAGCCCCCCACGGTCGTGGCTGCTGCCACTGCCTGGCAGTGGGGTCACTCTCAGGTGATGCCAAAATGTCACAGTCTGTGCAGTTTACCTTCTACTGTAACTTTGCCAAACGAGCCCCAGGGAAGCATTGGCCGTGTCAGCAGCAAGCAGGGTGTGTGCTGTGCCCGTGTGCCAGGGGTGCCAGTGCTTTGGGAGAAGAACCAAGGGCTCTGGGAGCGTGGGGTGACGCGCTCAGCCACACACCAAACATTTGCTACTGGGCCTTTGCGAATCCAAACTGATAACAATGTGCCTTTTGGACCGTCCTTATCTCAGCCTTGTCCGTGGCACTGCTGCCACCACAGGTTTGTGCCTATGCAAAGCAGGGTGGTCACAGGGTCTTGGGGACACGGTGACACCAGTGGGGAGAGGTGTCCTGGTCCCCAGTGGGACACCTGCTGTCGTGCAGAGCCCTGCTGAGCAATGCCCCCCGAGGGGAAGCTGGCCAGGCAGGGATGCTCTTGTCTGCAGCAAGAGGATGTGTGGATTGGTTTCTCCAAGGGGGAGAAAATCATCTGAAGATGCTCCAAGGAGGGGCCAGGCCCCAAGGGTGGGGCTGTGACAGCAGGTGAAGTGCTGGCTGCACTTCACAGCAGCTCTGGGCTGGCTGCCCTCTGCAGAGCCTCTGTCCCACGGGTTTCTCCCTGGAGGGCCTGCCTCCTGCTCGGGCAAAGGGGGCACGTGTCCCAACAGCGGGCAGCCCCTCCATCACCCGGCCTTCCCAGGCATGTCCCCTCTAGCAGCACAGGACTCTGCTGTCACCACTTGCTATTGTGCCTTTTGCTCACCAGCTGGTTCAATTCCAAAGGTCTAAGGATGGTGAAAATGATAATCCAGGATTTTTTTTTCTGGCCATCTCACTACATTTCCTCCCCAGCCCCTTTCTCACTTGGTGTTCTGGGATCTTGGCTCACCCAACAGCTGGGGGGTTGAGTGCATGGTTCCCACTGGGGTTTGCTTCCCAAAGACACATCCTGTGGGTAATTTACTGGAATCTTTGGTGGACAGGGGTTAGAAGACCCCTAGTCCGTGCAGACCCTGGTTATGTACCATTAGGATTCAAGTTCTACCTTTTATTCCTTTTTTTGTTTTTGAGTTTGCTGCTATGGGTTGGCATGTTCAGCCGGGTGTCAGACAGGCAATTAAAGGTTTGTCACTTGTCATTTTCTAAGGGGTTTCCGATGTGGAAAGTCCTGCGGTATTTGTATAGTGAATGGATATTTTCCCCAGGCGTAATCTGGTTAAGCATCCTTGTTGTTTTCCATTGGACTGGAAGAGGTGGCCGATTCAGCCATCATCCCGAGAAACTGAGTCTATTTTTATATATATATTTTGTACCAAAAAAAAAAAAAATCCCAGGAGTACACGGAGGGATGGAGATAGTTTAGGGGTTTGGTTTGTGTTGAGTTTCTGAGCTGTGTGTGATGAGCTCCAGAGCCAGGAGAAAGGTTTTACTGACAGAAATTTGAGATAGGTGAAAACAAACAATTGTTCTTGTAACTTGTGCCAGTCAGTGCTCTGATTTGTATGTTTTAATTAAAGAGAGAGCCAAATCGGTCCTGTATGACACTTGTAATTGCTTTAAACTGCAGCTGTTTGTTTGCTTTTATTTTCTGAGAACAAAAGTCGGGGATGTTATTGCCCTGGGAAAGCATCAGTGCTGTGGGAGCCGGACCAGCTCCCCACGCAGCACCCCCATCCCTCCCAGCCCCTCGCCCACGTTCCTTGTGCAGTTTTCCAGTGCTCCTGGACACTAACGCTAGTGTAGCCCCCCAGCTCTAGGCTGCTTTTAATTTATTTGCAGGAAAACGCTAGGAAATGCTTACGTCGGGTGGGGGGTTTTGTATGACTTTTCCACACTTCTTTTCTAGCATATCAATAAATATTTTTTTAAACTTTTCAGCCTCGTGTGGTCACTGCTCCGGAGAGCTCCCGTCCCACTCCGTACCCCCGGCACCGCCTGCGGCCGGCCCCTCTCCGAGGCACCCTGCTCCCGGCCCGGGATGCGGCGGGGCCCCGGGCTGGGGATGTGCGAGGCTGGGACCGGAGCCGGGGAACCGGAGCGGGGAAACCGCAGCGCTTTCCCTGCGGGGCTCCGTGCCCGACACAGCCCCTCCGGCCCCGGGCTTCGCTGCGGCCGGAGCTGCCCCTGCACCGTGAGCGCAGCTCGGGTGCCTCCGCCCGCACCCGCGGGACCGGGACAGAGAGCGGGCCGGGGACTGGGACAGGGAGCGGGACACGGACCGGGACCGGGCCGGGGAACGGGACAGAGACCGGGCCGGGACCGGGAGAAGGACTGGGACAGACAGCGGGACGGGGAGCGGGCCAGAGAGCGGGACGGGACCGGGACAAGGACCGGACCGGGACAAGGACCGGGACAGGAGCGGGCCGGGACCGGGAGAAGAACTGGGACAGACAGCGGGACGGGGAGCGGGACAGGAGCGGGCCGGGGAGCGGGACGGGACCGGGACAAGGACCGGGACAGGAGCGGGCCGGGACCGGGAGAAGAACTGGGACAGACAGCGGGACGGGGAGCGGGCCAGAGAGCGGGACGGGACCGGGACAAGGACCGGACCGGGACAAGGACCGGGACAGGAGCGGGCCGGGACCGGGGCTCGCCGGGCCGGGCTGGCCTGCGGAGGGCGCTGCGCGGCCGCGGAAGGGGCCCCGTCGGGCCCCGGCCCCGGCTGTCCCCCGGGGGCGATCGGGCTGCCGGGCCTCCCACCCCCAGCGCACCCCACGGTACTCCCAGGCACCCAGGGCCACAAAGGGAAGCCAGACACGTTTCTATTTACAAAGTATATATTTAAACTGACATAAAAAGCAGGTCTCATATGGACATTCACGGCTGGCAGAAGACACGTAGTTAAGCTTCACTTCTGAGACTGAGATTTAGCCAAATCGTTTTTGTACAAGTCTTAGATTTAAATAATTCACACGCACCGCCTGCACACACACACACACGCAGAGTACACGTCTATGTACAGACACACAGATACACGCACAGGTACGGTTTGCTCCAGGCGTGTCGGACACACGGACACGGCGCTGGAGCGGGGCAGGAGCGGCTCCGGGCTCTTTGCAAAGGGAAGGATCCTCGGCCTCGGCGGCAGCAGGAGCACAAACAGCTCAACCTCCTCCTCATCCTCCAACAACACCGTGTCAGCACCGGAACCAACGCATCGGCTCTTCGTACAAACCAAGTTAAAAATCTCAATTTTACAAAATATGTCTTAAAAAAAAGAAAAAAAAAGAAAATAAAATAAGAAGAAAGGAAAAACAAACTGGGAACTGTGGGACACGATGGCTCCCTTTGCACAGCCAATCCAGCATCCTGCCAGACACCTCATGGGTCCCAAACGGATGGGGAAGGGAACAGGCAAGGTGAAGCTGCTGAAGGGCCCTGGAGCAGACATGCCCCTTGCCCAGCCCATGCGAGCTCCCTGGGCCAGGGGCCTTCAGGAGCTCAGGGACAAAGAGCCCTGGCTCAATCC